GGCAGGAGTATTACCTAAACGTATCATAACACTCTGATCCTGTTGGTGGCGCTAATGCACCTCTAGATGATCTGTGGAAAACTGCAAAGAAGAAAACCGGAAACCACCGTTTCGTCACTTGCGCGCATGGAGTGAGAAAGAGGGGTAAACAGTTAGCATTTTCAAAGGTAAACCTAGCTTTCTCTTATTTTTAGAGATTTACTTTATATTTTAAACATGTATTCGTTTTATTATTGCTTTAGTAACATCGCGTTAATTATGTCTCTTATTCGAAAAATGAAGGGATTGATTTAGACCCTCTCCATCGGCACCATGCTGTAACTATTAGCATCCTGTACTAATTCATCAGATAATATTTGGTTATTTCTTCTGTTTTTGTTTTTTTAGAGTAAAATGGACGCACAGAAAGATCTGCAGCCGCCCAAACAACAACCGATGATCTACATCTGCGGAGGTAATCTTTATGGATTACATACAGCCACAGTTATTACTAACAATAAACGCTATGCATTTAAATTAGGCTCTGCATTATAGAGTCGTGAGTTCTCTAAATATAAAAGTGTCAAAGATGTATATTTTTACACTCATTTTAGAAATTGATTCTTTTGTATAGGTTCATTCCAAGTCCATTTATTGTAATTGTTTAAGATTATGGGTTACATATAAAATTCAGTATATTGGAGAATGTTACCAGGGTTCCTGCAGATACTTAAAAAGTTTTAAAAGGCATTGAATTCTTCAATATACATACTTGGATTTAGTTATATATATATATATATATATATATATATATACACTGTATCTGGAGCGTGTAACAAAAGTAATTTCCCTCTGGGATTCAAGTATTTCTGATTCTGATAAAATCTGAAATGTCTCTGAAATGTCTTAAATCAGTCTTTCATAGGTCTAAAAATTGTTGCCACATCATAAATAGGATTTTATTTTTGTAATCCATATCAAACATTTAAATAATTGACAATTTTTTCTTACATTTACCGAACTCCTCACTGTAACCATTATAGGTTCAGGCCCAATAGCAGAACCAATAAAAAAGATGTTGCGGCCAGACCTTTGGGTGATATGCCAGTAACTTTTTATCTGGACACTGTGGGGAAGTTTTAAATTCAATGAAAAATAGGCTATCCAAGAGTTTTCTGCATGGTTAAAACCACTGCCAGGGAATGTAGATGGAGCATGATTGGAATCAAGGCAGTGGAGACACAAGTATGAAACCCAAAGTGTCAAAATCAAGTGATTAGAAGCAGCAGGTATTTGTCCGTTCTGTTCCACCCCGGTCTCTGCAACGCCTCCACAGCGTCTCTCACATCACCACCAGCGCCAGTAGAACCAAATCTCAGGATAATGTTTGGTGGTAAGCCGACTATGAAAGTAGAGCGATTGAGAAGGGAACAAAACAAAGTTAGTGAATTCAGTTCAGTAGTTGCTAAAAATATCTGTTATTTGTGTGTTTTCAGCTTTCTTCCTATATGGAAAGTTTTTCAAAATTTGAAACACATCTACTGGCCCAGAAAGTAATGGTTTAAAATAAACATTTTGGGTAAATTTGTCGTTCCCAGGTTTTTCTTTTGTTTATTGTTAGGTTGATCTTAAATTTTTATTTTAAGTGGCATTAAACAGTCTTGAATTTACCTTGCCTTATGCCTTAGGAACCCTGGTTACAGAAGATAAATAAAACAATAATATTTTTAATGCCAGTATGCACCCTCTGAAAGTTTTTATTTTTATAACCTCGTTGCTTCTCTGGGCCTCCTCCTTGCACACTCTACTCTATTTATGCAGTTTGGCATGAAGGCTAGGACCTTAGGACCCTGCTGAAGTGTAATAGAGGCTTAGTATGATTTGGTAGCTGTATTTAAGATAACTGCATCATTGATCTTGGTACAGTATCTTTCCAGTGGCTTTTAAAGTCTGAAACAGAGGTAAACCTCTCAAAACTTTCAAAGCATCACTAGCTTTTGTTAGTGTTGAATGAATAAATGGAGTCCTAAGTGCTCACAACGATTAATTATGTCTTTTATCTGGTAATGCCTTAGAACTTGCTGGATGACCTGACTGTCTTTTCTTGCAGAATGTCACACTGAGAATGAAATTAAAGCACGTGATCCCATCAGATGCAGAGAGTGTGGCTACAGAATTATGTACAAGAAGAGAACAAAGAGATGTATCCTTTTCTTCTGTGTTTCTGTTTAGGTACAAACTGTAAAATGTGTTGTTTGTGTTTAAATTAAGTGTGTAAAACCAGATATGCTCTGAGCGCACATTTCCTTAACTCTCTGATTACAGTGGTTGTATTTGATGCCCGGTGAAGAAGTGCAGAGTGATGGATTTTACTTTAGTTAGTGTTTACTGTTTTTGTAGTGTCTCACCATGTAAATAAACACACTTGCAGGTCTGGCTTCTTTTTTTTTCTGCCATCAATTCATCTTTGTTTTAACCAAGGAATACTTAATTTTTTTTTATTTGTATTTCATAAAAAAAAAAATGTAAAAGCCTTTTTTAAAATGTGATATATTTTACTTTGTTTTGTTCACTGGGGAGCATTTCTTATGGACAAATAAACCAGATATAACTAAATATGCAGAAACGTTTCAGTCCTTTAGAATGACAATACAAATAATGTCTATTTGAGCAATTTCAAACATGTGACCTTTTGTTATATCAACCTATTTTGAATGGATTTAATGTTAAATTAATTTAAATTATGTTTTAATGTTCAGTTGATTAAGGCTAATGGCTAATAAAGACCTAACAAAAATAGAATATTGTGATAGACAGATAATAAAAGGAAACAGAAATATCCTACTGCGAATGATGTAATGGAAAGCATCTGCTGTCTGTACTTGATCTGGGCTTCTTTACTTGAATGCAGCCTGCAGAGGTGTAGCCCAAGGAGATTCAATAGCATCCTTCTGGTTGTCTGTATTTTTGGTTCTTTCTCATGATATAACTGTAGATCAATGGTCCCAAACTCCAGTCCTTAATGGCCTGTGTCCTGCAACTTTTAGAGGAATCCCTGCTAAAAAATACACCTGAATCATATACTAAGTCATTAATAGAGCTCTGAAGAACTTTGATCTATCCGAATACAGCAAATAGATTGCTACTCATTATGTAACTGAAACACATAGATGGTGCTTGTCAAACTGGGACTACAGCTTTCTGAAAGGAACAAAAAAAAAGGCAAATTACATCTAAAGAACAGCTGAAGCTCTATGAAGGGACGCATGTCACCATACATGTGAGGAACACCAGATGGGAACATTTGGAGCTCCCTATGCTGAATAACCTCCCGACAGGAAGCATACAGGCTTTTTTTTTAAATCTTACTTACAGAACTTTTCAGACAGAACTTATAGCGACCTCTGATGCACTGCTGCTATGAATTAGGAGTGGTTACCGACTTGCAGTATTTGGATGGACCCCTTGGCTTCCTACTAGTGGAGAGGGTAAAGCATTTGATGTGTAGGAAAATTAAGACATCTAAAAGTAGTACACCAAACCTCCAGGATTTGCACTTTAGTCCACTTCATGTCAATTGTCTTCCACCTTGGTCCTCACGACCCACTTCCCTACATGTTTTACATTATTTTTCCTTCATGCACACATCTGACTGAAATAAACGATTAACAGACCTCTCTGGTATGTAATGGAAATCATTTGATTCAGGTGTGTTGGAGCATTGATACATCTAAAAGGTGGGACAGTGGGTCTTAAAGACCAGAGTTCCCTGGTTTAGGGTCAGACCAGTTTACACCACAATCATTGAACTAACCTATGGTATATAGTACATGGAGGTTACCAAGTCGTGCTGGAAAAAAGAAATTGGTGTCTCTATAATCCTTGGCTGCTTCCAAAAAGTCTGTAAGGACACGATGCCTTTTGTCTATAGGTCATTTACACAGGGACTTCTCAAAGGCTGAATCCCAAACTGCCCCTTAAAGGGGAACTCTGTTTTTTTTTTTTTTTTTTTACATTGGCCCCTGGATTTTACATTATTACATCATGTTCTATTCACCCATATAAGTTTTGTGTCATTTGGAGCCGTTCTGAAGATATTCCGTCAGGTTATATTAAAACAAAGCGGCGCGTGTATGACAACATTTCGCGCATGCGGACTGGAGTCGTAACAGGAAGCCCGGGCCACAGGCGGCTACGCTCTACCCCTTCTATTCATTCGGCTAGCTAATCTGAATCGTTCAATTCCATATCAAGAGCGATATCATCTGTGGTAGAAGCACTAGACATCTTCCAGGCATGTGAGTAAAACTAGCAGCAGTTCAGCGGACAGGAAGAATGAACGGTAGCCGGCGCACGCGGATGACGTCATACACGCACCACTTTGTTTTTAAAACATATAAATATAAAAAATATAACCGCGGATGTCTGGGGGACAGTGATTCGCCTACATGTTATGAATAATGGCGTACCATAAAGAATAAATTATGAACAGTTTAGTTTGTGCCTTCAACTCGTTTGCCCATAGGAAGACGTTACATGGATATAACCTAACGGAATATCTTCAGAACAGCTCCAGTTGAACCAAAAACCATATGAGTGAGTAGAACATGATGTAATAACGTAAAATCAAGGGCCCAATGTAAAATATAATGGTGTTCCCCTTTAAGCACTACATCTTATCTTAGTGTCACTCCTAATGAAGTCAAACTTGCAGCTGTGGTGAGCGCCTTTTTAAAGGTGGAGAATGGGATAGATGTTTTGAATTATTATTTTTTTTTTTTTATGAAATGTAATAGAGCTTTCTTTTTTTTTTTTTTTATGGGCTCCTTTGACAGATGGGGGGGGCGTAAAGGGCCCTACTTATGCTGGAGCCTCCCCTGCCTTCAGCTCTGAGTCTTCCCCATCAGCTGCAGCAGCTCTGCAACCCCCCCTATCATGACATCACTTCTGACACCTCCGAGAGGAGGTGTGTCCAGGAGAAATCCCTCATCCAGTCCACAGATGTAGCTGCAGAGGGAGAAAGGAGGAAGAGTTTGGACGCACTGCGGAGGGGAGCTCAGCCATGGGGAACGCGCAGGATAAACCCCCCGGTAGCAGCGGAGGAGGAGCGACCCCCAGGCGGGGACAGGAGAACCTGCAGGCTCCCAGAGCTGCTGGAAAGGAGGTGGCAAACGGCGCACCGAGAGAAAAACGCCGAGAAGGAGAGGCAGAGGAGCAGAAGCAGCAGTCGGAAAGCTCAGGAGGGGATAGGAGTTACCTTGATGCTCCGGCTGGAGCTTTACCTCCTCACCTGGCCCGGCTGAAGAATGAAGGAAACCACCTCTTTAAAAATGGCCAGTTTGGAGACGCGATAGAGAAGTACTCCCTGGCTATAGATGGATGTTATGAGGCAGGTGAGGAACAACTGAAATAAACCCCAGATTATATATATATATATATATATTAAAAAAAAAAAAAGCATCACAGCATTAAATTGGGCTTTTAATACACCAGAACCTGAACAGAAACAGTCTAACTGTCCTAAATGAATAAATTAAAAATATTATTACAATTTAAATTAGAGTAGATTTTCTTAAAACAATTTTTTTAGCTCTAACTTTAGTCAAAACAATCTATTTTTATAGATTGTTATTTATTGCAGTTACATGTAAATGCAGCAGATGGGTCACTCACTAAAATGTTAAAATATTTTATAAACTCCTAATGACCATAATGTTCCATTTTTTTAACAATCCCTGGAAAAAGAGTGTTCATTATTTTTAATTGTACCCCTTTACTCTGATACCTCTTACTAATATTCATTTGAACCAGTCCCCATTGCATCACTTAACAATAGCTTCAGTGAAGCTGCAGAGATGCAGAATGAGAGAATATGTTCACTACATGTTATGCATGGTGGTGGCATCAGCATGCTGTGGGGATCCCTTTTAGCAAAATTTATTTTAGGGGAAAAATGGTAAAGAATTTTAGGATGCAGATGCACAAACTTAGTGAAATTAGACCTACAAAAACTCTCAACTGTGATTGCAGCACACAAAATGTTTCTTAAGAGGGGTCAAGAACGTACTCTACATGCTTAAGATTTTTTTAATGCTTAAGAATGTGAAAACCATGCATTATATACCTTTCATAGTTATGTACAACTTTGTTCAGGTTCATATAATCTAGCTTGTGGTTGAAGCATTGGGATGGAATAAAATGTTTAAGAGGTAGAGTAGTTTTGAGAAGCACTGCATATATATTTTGTACTGTAGCTTTAAAAGCATTAACATTAAATTCTTAATGGTTTTATTAATACATTATTTTTCAAATGTTATAAATAATTGGCCAGGTTAACTGGCAAGTACAGAAAAGCACTAACCATAATGTCTAATGGTATCATGAACACCTATTTTTCAAATCTCTAAACGTTGTTATATTTTTTTGTGTGTGCTAATTAAACTTAACTAAGCTGAGGTTCTGCTTCCCGAATGAGGCTCACAAATAAAATAGAGAAATTATACAACATCATTAGAAATTGTGAGCACATTTTACCCTTCAGCATTTCTGAAACCAATCAGATTGTCTCTCAAAGGCTAACATCTTTAGTGCCTGGAGGAACAGTAGAAAAAAGTATTTATTTTTATTTTTATATTGAATTGTTTTTATTTCCAGTTATTGCAAGGTTTTGGATCTACTTTTAAGATGAAATACATTATATATGTTTGAAGGTCTCTTGTAATATTGTATCAAGATCAACAATGCAGTTATCTTAAATGCTGTTAACCCTTCCAGGCATTGACAGCCCAGAAGATCTGAGTATCATCTACTCCAACAGAGCTGCTTGTTACCTGAAGGATGGAAATAGCAGAGACTGCATACAAGACTGCGACAAGTGTGTGACCAAATCTATACGTTTTTTATATCTCTGTCATGATAAAAGACCAATTGAATTAAAAAGCATAATGTCCATACGACAGAGTTTATAAGCAGTGAGTAAAAATGAGCTTGATTTCAGTATTGTGAAACAATATTTGCCCTTTTACAGATATTTTCTATTATTTCTTTGTTTCAAACAAATTTTAAAGATAACCTGAGCAGTTTTACTAATCACATTTTAACATATAAAATTAAAAAATACAAATTAATCAAATGACGAAATTAATTAAAGGTTGTTTGTATTGCTCAAATAAGTAATGTCAAGGAATACAGGCCGAATATGAACCTTGAAGAAATGAATAAATATCTAGCATCTAGATACAAGATACAAAATTAGGCTACCTCTAAACAATTAAATAGATTTTTTTTTTTTTTTTCATTTGTACTTTGTTGCTTTGGAATCGAGTATTTTCAACCTAAATGGAATTGAGTTTATAATATCAGAAAACAGAAAAGTTAGGGGTCTCAATACAAAACTTTGAGGTAGCCATAGCAGAGTGGACTATTATATAAGCTATGATTATAAATATGAAATGATAGACATATGGGAAAAATGATATTAACCCTTTTTAAGGCAGATTATAACAGCCAATGAATCTATTAGTCTGTCATACTTAATCAATGATTGACTGTATTTTAATATCTCTTGAATATACATAACAGACAATATTTTTGAATATAACCTATTAATCCCGGTTCTCTCTGGATTATTTTCTTATATTGCTCACTTTCATGTCAGTGATTTCTTACTTTTATATTTTTGTGTTTTCATCTAAATCATTTGTTTTCCTTTAGTTTTGGTGCTTATATCTTTTGACTCCTTTATCTATACAAATATGGATTTAATTGGTTATTTTTTTAGCTTGGATTTTGTTTTCATTTATACAACGCTAACTCTTGGAATTTGTTTGTTTTGCTTTTGCTGCATTCTAGAGGCAAAATTTTGGGATGTATTCTGAATAAAATGTACACCTACAGTAGGATGATTGCATGTTTTTGCTCATGAAGAAAAAGTAGAATCAAGTCACACTTTTGAAACAGGCTCATTTAGACATAGTGAAGGACATGGTTTGATCCGGTCTGTGCATCTCTCTGATCCTCTTAGGGCTTTAGAGCTGCAGCCTTTCTCCTTAAAGCCCTTGTTGCGCAGAGCCCTAGCCAATGAGTCACTGGAACGCTACAGGAAGGCCTACGTGGATTACAAGATGGTACTGCAGATCGACAACGGGGTGCAGGCAGCTCATGATAGCATCCACAGGTTAGATAAACACAGACACAAACATCAGTTTTGGTTTGGTTAGCTTAGAGCAGGAGGTGTGAAGTTCAGAATCAATCAAGACAGCATTTTTCTATTTTAAATCTGATTTTATGAAAAAGTCATAAAATTTTAAACAGCCGTATTTACTAAACAAATCTAACATATGCCCTAAACGTACCCAATTTTTCACGACTTTTTTAGGTTGACAAGGTCTCCTTATGCTTATCCAACAGAACAATAATCATTGTTCTCTCCAGTCATAGCACACCACATGGGCATTAATGTCCTTGAATAAAAAGACCTCTTCCACCTGTATAAACCCTAAAGAACATTTAAATCCTCCCCTTTCATGAGTTAAAACAACAAAGAAGCAAACCTCTCACTATCCAGAGATAAGTTGAACTTTGAGGTACTGGTATCCATACCATGTTACAAAGCTGCCATTAACTCACTTAATTGAAGTTTTTTTTGGTCCAGATTAGGGCTGAAACAATTAATCGGATTAATCGTGATTAATCAATTATTGACATCATCAAATAATTTAGTAATTGATTATTGGTTAACTGGAGTGTAGAGACTCCAAAGCATGCCTTTAGTTGAAAAAGTAACCCACTTAGCGCAGTAATTATATAAAAGTTTAAAAAAATATAAGAAATTGTTTGCATTTAAGATAAAAAAAATACTGTCAATAGGCTCTATTCAGAACTTCTCAAATGGAAAAGTTTTATTTTCACCTGGTTTAAATTTGTAAAAGAAATCTTCCATAAGTATCCTTTGGCTATCCAATTATTAATCAATTAACCGAATAAAATAATCCACAAGTTAATTGATATGGAAATAATCTTTAGTTGCAGCCCTAATCCAAATAGGAGGCTTTTTATCTGCTTTCTTGGCAGTAAGGTTGTACTTAAAATATAAATCTGTGTCCAGTCTTTCTAGCAAAGCAATGCGTAACACCTTCATTAGTACTGTATATTGCTCAAGCCTAATAGAGGGAAGAAATCTGAATGAAATTGTATCATAGATCGATGCTGAGCCTTCAAACCCTGTTTCAGTGTTTTTCTTGTAAGGGAAAACCCTTATGTGGCATTGGTTTCCTTGTTATCTGCCAGAATTACCAAGGCGCTTATTGAGCAGGACGGGCCTGAATGGAGAGACAAGCTGCCGGAGATCCCTGTTGTGCCTCTGTCCGTCCAGCAGCAGCACAGAGAGAAACCAGTCAGCATTGAGCTGGCCCAGGCGCGAGCCGCCAGGGCTGTACAGGAGGAAGGTAGGTTACATTACTATGCTCCCTGCCTACAACCAACAGCTGACACTCTGTATATATGTAAATATATCAGCAGGTACTGACTGTTGAAAAACAAAAAAAATAAAATAAAATACAGCACCTGCAGTAAAGTGGAGTGAAATTAGCAAAAATAAGATTTTTGATTATGAGTTTAGAAAGCTGCATTGGCTAAGAATGAGTGAGTAAATGCTGAGTAGGACAAAAGCTGCTCCAGCTGGCGGTGTGTTGTGTTTAGGGTTGTATCAATAATGCAAAGAGAAGCCGATCCTCACAGACTGGAGAGCTGCTGTAATGGAACAATTCAGGTCAGGTTCCCCTCAGGGGTCAGAGACTCTTCAGACAGCCCGGGTGACTCCAACCAGAGGCTGGATAAAAAGTCATTTTAATTTTGAGTGAGTCTCATTTAGAATGTATAGAAACATTAAAATAAATTGTTTTGTTGTGCTGAGGAAGAAATTAAAACAAAATTTTCAATTGAAAGATTCCCTGAGAGAGACAGATATTTGATTTTATGATCTAATGAGAATCTTTTACAGAGCAGAAGCTGTGAAACAGACTTTCATGTGACATTAGCATTACTGCACTTTGTAAATTAGCTGCTAAATGAGCCACTTTGTCTTAACTTTGAGCTGGAATCATCGCGCTCTGCATCACATCACCCCTTCTTGATCGGAGAAAGTGGCTTTTCGTCCACAGTACCAGCACAGCTAGGTTAAGGTAGCTTCCTGGACGGAGCCTTTTTTTCATGTAGATATTCTCCAATTTCACAGGGGAGGGATGGGCTGCTGATTAGACAACATAACTCATGAAGATTAGTCAGAAATGCATTAACCAAGTGAAATACCACTTTTAGCATGATTGTGGTAAAGATCAGCATTATAATATCAGAATCACAACACATTTTATTGCCAAGTAGATTTTCACTTACAAGGAATTTCACTTGGTGTTGATGTAGACAAAATAAAAATATACAGAGAGATATATATAGAGAGAGGCAGTGTCAATATAGTTAAATATGGGCACTTTACTTTTCCACAAATTTCTAGTTCAGTGTCTGAAGCTTTTCGTAAAACACTCATTTAAACTGAGCTGCCTGACCAATAAGGCTTTAGGTACAAAAACTCAGTCAAACTTAGTAATAATTTTTAAAGATCCAACTTAAAATGGGGCTGTATATTTTATACAAAGTCCTTTACTATTTGTTTAAGTGAACACTAATTTGGTTGAGTCAACACTCATTTGTGTGAGTCAAGACTAATTGCACTGAATTGAATACAATACGCAGTCACAGGTTTACATTTCAGCCTTTTACTACAATGAGGTTTGTCCAGGATGAGCTAACAGGGGCAGTTTTTCCAGGTTTTATGACTTAGACAAACTTTATTATCATTTTGTACACACAGAGTGTATACAAAACAAAATTTCATTTTGTACAGCTCTCATGACTTTTCAATTTTTTAGTGTGTAGCAGTGATCAAACGTAAACGTTGTGGGAGAAAAAAACACGGTGCAAAAAGATGATTATGATTAATATCTTTTGAATGCAACTTTAGATATTTTCTTTTTTGTTGCATTTTAACACTTCCTAATTTAAGTCCCAGCAGCACTGTTACCAGCAGACTATCACAAAGACGCATTTGATTAAATTTCTTCAGTCATATCTATTAAAATGACTATAGATAAGCAGCCTGACAGACAATGGTATGTTTTAAAAGAAGATTTTCTGCATGTTGAGAACTTGGCAAAGAGTCGATGATCAAATGAAGGTGAAGCATCTCTCAGGTGCTTTATCGCGCATTTTCTTTCTTTCTTTATTTTTTTTAACAGTGTCCTGTCTGGCAATGTGGCAATAATAATAATAACTTTCTTGATGCCAAAAAGAGCCCAACAGATTTTGCTTTCACAAGTAGAGCAGTACGGCTATCGCCATAATGTTCCGCTTGATTTATGCATATAAATAGCTTTAGTATGATTCATGCAGGGAGTATTATAGATTATATGGACACTGCGATGTAAGAAGAACAGGAAAGGAAAAACCTAAAAAAGGAGAAAAGATGAAAGAAAGAGGAGATAAAAGTGAGACAATGATAAAATGTCTTCTGTAAAAGGAACAACACATCCAACAGAGAGAGAGAGAGAGAGAGAGAGAGAGAGAGAGAGAGAGAGAGAGATAAACTTTATTCCAGACTCATGGTCCAATAAATACATACATTAAAATAAAAATAGTTAATGATAAAAACACAATACAAGTACCATTATCGATTAAATAGGATCTTTAAGAAGACAGGAATACCAGTGTCCCCACAGCTTAGACTGATATCGGATTGCACTACGTGTGGTATCAGTGAGTGACAAAATAATATCGTTTTCAGATGCATTTAACCTACAAATAAACTTATACATTAACTTTCGTAGAACAGCTTGTAGGGTATTAACTCTTGCTGTGACAAACATCTCACAGCATATAGTACATATAGTATAAGAGATACAATTAAGTGGCACCTTGATACTATCGCTGAAGTATAAGTAGTAATATTTAATCTGACATGTATACTGTGGTAGCTGTAGATAAGTATATGCGCTTTCTGTTTGGAAGTGAATCTCTAAGTACCTGGAACCAAGCACCTGTAGTTGTGAGAGTGCATTTGTGCAAATAACTTTATCCAAAGGAAAAATACTCAATAGTGGTTGTGAAGAGCCATCCCTCCAGAGCACCGTGGCAAGCGCCGGGAGACCCAAAACCCCAGATGCCAAAGGGATTCCCAGAGTAAAGACGCCCAGGAGGGGCCAACCCAGGAAATAGCCCCCATCAGGAGAAGAGGAGAGACGGCCCAGAGGACTTCCGCCCAAGAGCCGCGGGGACGAGCTATAGGGGCTTCACCGTCAGCCAGCCACCCCAAAGTGGAATCGGCCATAAGACCAGGAATAAGCCAGCACCCAGCAGGGCAACCACTCCCAAACACTGAGCACCACCAGTGCACCGGCGAGCCAAAGCACCAGCAAGCAGAGGGGGGCAGGACGGGGGGAATGGGCTCCACACTTAGCGGAGACTTGACATGTTTTGGGAGAGGGAGCAGTTCAGACCCAAACCTGACAAAAAAAAAAAAATATATATATATATATACACATTCTCAATCACACCTTCCCACCCTAGTGCGCCCACTCGCAAAACATAGACTCTTTAAAAAAAATAAATAAAATAAAATGGCGTACGCACATTCACACATAACATTCAGATCCAATAATCCTAGGACCGAGGGCCAAGAACGAGCATTTTGCACATATCAGGCACTTTGACTCTGCTGTCAATGGCTTTTAGCCTTTGTCTACCTTTCCTATTTTAAGCACACAATGAACAAAATGTTGCCATGGTCAGTTTTATGGCTTTGGAGCATTTAAAAAGCATATAGAACATGTTTAAAGGCTGTATGTTGTATAAACTAATATAGAAAGCTATAGAAACAGAGACATTTATCATTGTAATTGCATTTTTATTAACATTTGCTTTTAGAGTTAAGTCAGATAAACAGATGAACAATATAACTGATTAGCTTCTGTATTATATTGACTTTTGATTAATTTATTTTAACACTTTTATTTCTGAAGGGCAGTCCAATTACCGACATTCAAAACAAAAATTTGGAAATATGCAAACAAATTCAAGTTTACCTTAAATGATGACAGACTCTTCATTTTCTTTTCTTTTGTAATGAGTCATAAATTTGGCAGAAATTTACACTGAAATGTATCTAATAAACTGTGGAAATGTGTTATCTCTGCTGAGTGTGGGGCAGCGTTAGGAAATTTTCATTATTTAGTCATTAGTTGTAGAGGCTTCCTCAGCACAGCAGACAGCTAGCTCAGGAGGAATCGACTCATCTGCTCTGCTTCATTTATTGATAGGCCCCGAAAAAGTCCTAACAGGCTTCTTAAGTGGTATCCATTAAATGCAGTCATCCCCTGATGCAGTGGGAAAAAAACAACCCTACAGTGATGAAAACTGACCCTTCATGAAAAGTAGCTATAGGCTTTTTTTTATGTGCTTGTTTATGTTTAGAGGTTTTGATAAATTCTCTGTTCTCTGTAGCTAGAAGAAAAGAGGCTTCCTTCACTTTACTCAAACATGAAGGCAACAGTTTGGTGAAGAAGGGACATTTCCAGGAGGCCCTGGAGAAGTACAGTGAATGTCTCTCCATAAAACCTGATGAATGTACCGTTTACACAAACAGGTTAGTCCAAACCACACAGGAACATTCATGTTTTAGGAAAACACGCAAAGCTTGATTTGCTGAAGAGAAGAATTTACTTCAAACTTTACATACATTCATTATGAGCATGAATATCCTAATATATTAGCTATTTAATAATGGATTTCAACAGTTAATTCTTTAAAATACATCATTTAAATATAGGTTATAGAAGAGCCCCATTAATCAAAAAAGGTAAAAAATTTTAATATCTTTATTGCTTTTTGCAGATCTGGCTTTTACGCGAACTATATCCATCGTTAACATGGTCAGCATCAGCTGCATTTGTAGAAGCTTGTTGTGTGTTTGGTGTTTTTTAATTTAGATGGATGCTGTTGGTTTTCATAATCCCACTCATCTTGTCTGTTGCACTAGTACCACTGACAACAATCCTCACCACATCATGATACTACTGCTGCGTTTGATAAGTTTGTACAATGTTATCCGGTTTTAATGCCTCACCTTGGCTCTTACTAAGATTATTTTGGTCCTCATAACCAAAAAGCTAAGTTTTTATGAGCTGTCCACTTTAGAGCAAGAGCTTGATTATTGGCCAGCAAGTTCTAAGTCCATGCTGATATTAAACTTTCCAGTTTATGATAGGCTTGAGCTTTTGTTTAATCTAAGGGTGAATCTTTGGGACAGATGGCTGGAACTTAGACATAGTTGACTGTTTCAACAGGACAGTGATCCAAAATACACAGAACATCAGAACTTAACCTAAACCAGGCTGATAAATGTGTCTGCTTAAACTCTCCAGTCCGTCCACATAATAAATATTGTGTTATTAATCCAGAAAGTTTTTCTAACATTCTCTTCAGTGACTTTAATCTTACACAAACAGCAGAGGGCACTATATACAGTATTTACTAAGGGAAGATATGTCTATTCAAACACATTAAATGTTATGTTGCATCATATTTTTATACCCAGATAATAAAGGTTCAGCCCTTAACAAGAATTTAGTTGCAGCAATACGTAATCTAAGAGGTTAAAATACTTGGTATGGAAACATTGTTAGAGCAATGGATGTTCTTTTTAGTGTTTTAGGAAGATGTTTTAAAAAAGAATATTTTTTAAAAACCGAATGGTTGTCTTTCCCTACTAGAGCAATTTGTTTCCTTAAACTAAATCGGTATGAAGAGGCCAAACAGGACTGTGACTCTGCACTGCAGATGGATCCAGCCAACAAGAAAGCCTTCTACAGACGGGCGCTGGCTTTTAAGGGACTGCAGGTGATAAACACATCACTACCACTCTTTTCTTTTTTTTAAACCTTTTTTTCTGATGTTGTTTTTCTGTAATCACATGCCAGGATTACCTGTCAGCCAGCGGCGACCTCCAGGAGGTCCTCCAGCTGGACCCCAAAGTCCACGAGGCTGAGCAGGAGCTTGAAGAGGTGACGTGTCTACTGAGGCAAAGCTTGATAGACAAGACTGAACACACATGAGGCTTAAACTCAGAACAAATGTTCAGTGGCACCAACACAGCTCCACACATTTAGGGAAGGCTGTATGAAATGGATTGAAAAAATTGCACACAAGTTTTTACAAGAAATCAAAAAAGTTATGAAAAAAATCTGATCAACCCCTGCAGACATGGTGACACTTCATTGTGCACAGGTGGAGACTGCACAATGGCATGCTAGAAGTTGGGGTCTTCAGGTATATTTAAGTTTTTTCTGTATTGATCAGAGCAAAAAGAGAATAACTTTTCAACTGAAAAGAAGTTAACACATATATTTCCAACTATTTCAATAAAAATAAGCAGTATATATTTTTTTCTTATTTTAAAAGGTACAAAGAGAATCAACATGTATCATTGTTGCAACATTTTTACCACATTCTGATGTTATCTTGTTAGTGCTTGTTTTAAATCTACAGTTCAAATCCGACATGTCCTGTAAATCAGCTTCATAAAAAAACAGGGACATGTACCTCTTGTTTTTTCAAATCAGATCTTGTTGATTTTGCAAAGTATGGTTGACTGTTGTGAATATTAATATGTGCCTAAGCTTGAACTTTCAGGCAGAAAGACAAAACACATAGAAGCACTATTCCAGGTGTTATTTATTTAATGAAAGACGAGGGTTAAAGATAGTAGCTCCTTAAGTTCAGTCGTATAAGAGAGAAACACACCTAAGCAGATGAGAGGTAATTCTCCCAGTTTTTGAGTGTATAGAATTAATACTACAGAATTATTCACAATAGAGGTTATTTCAGTTGCTTTGGGTGAAGAGTGGCGAGGGTAAAGGCAGAAAGGTTTATTAGAAGGAGAACATAAAGTTGTTGGCAGCAGCAGTAAATCTGGTACCCATTTTAAGGAAAATGTCACACCTTAAAAAAAAAAAGTACAGCATGTCTTCCAGCATCTTAAGAAGATAGCAGCATAGCTACAGAGATAGCTGAGGATACCCTAAGCCACTGTACCTTATAAGCTTTACTGAAAAGGAAACTTTTAAGCCTACTTTTGGTCCTCATGGACTAAAACTGGAAGTTGGTTCACGTGAGATGAACCTAAAAATTAAAAGATCTGCCTCCAAATCAACTTTAAAGAAATATAAACCACTAGCCCGGTGAGGAGGAGCTCACTCAGAACTTATCGAGTAATCAAACCTCTGACCTACAATGGAGCTTGTCCATTTAGAGCTTTAAGTAGGATCCCACAGATAATATTTTGGCTGGCCATTGACAGCCATTTGCAATACCTGAATATTTGGCCCAGCTGTTTTTATGCCTCACTGTAGAAGCCCTTTTCCAGTTATCAGTGGACTAAAAAGGGAGAATGACCGCCAGTTACTCTGAAGCGCAATGAATAACCAGCTTCTCAGCATTACATGTCTTGTGTAATGCACAACTGCTCTGCACACCGCTTACAAAACAGGATGCTTAATTTGAAAAAGCTAACGTCAAGGTATGTGTAATCTGCCTGCAGTATTTATCATTACCATTGTGACGTAAACTATTGCACAGTTACATGTGAAAGACATTAAATTTCTGTTATGTGTGGATTAAAGGAGGAAGGACAGAGTGGACAATGTGTGCCTTACTGAAATTTCTAACACACTTAGGATAAAATACAAAAAGATTAAAGCATTTTAGTTTGAGAGATGTTTATTTCATTGAGCTGGAAATAATGGAGTGAAACTAATCAGATATATTTTATACTGGTGTAGATTGTAACACACTGAGAAGAAAGAGATGAGTAGTGTTTTATTGAGCCATGTAAAAAAAAAAAGGGAATTTACTTCTAATTCTTGACATTTTGGGTACAGGTCACTTAACAGATTGTAGATCTTTAATTATTATAAGCGTTTTTTTTTAGACAGATGTAGTAATTAGATTATAGTAGATGAGAAAAAAAGTATTTTGCTCTTCTAGATCCCCTTAGAGACATTTGGGTCAATTTTTTACAAGCTCTCTAAGACCTGTGATTTATTGATACAAGGAACAACAATACAGACACACAAAATGTCCTTTTGTTTCTTGATGAAGTTTTTTGGCCTGTGAATCACCTGGTGCAGCTATCAACATTAACTCTTTAAAACAAAACAGCCTATTAGTTACATTTAATTTCTCTTCAATTGATTTGAATTTAAAATGCATTAAATTCATCTTATGTTATAGGGCTGATACGAAAATAGTTTAACGTTAAATATTGCTTTCAAACTTGCCCTAGATCAAATGGATTTCAGTAAAAACAATTAGCTATGCAATTTAAGAGATACAACTATTTAAAAGGGGTGTTATTTTTAATTGCTTGCCACAAATGACCAATAACCAATGTGTACAAACAGTATATCAGAGTAATCACACCCTTTTCATCATTCAAATTATATTGTGGAGCTTTATCTTTGATGAACCAGGAAGGCCTCCTTGTCATCGACCTAATCTTTAGTTCCCACTATCCTGTAATTCAAATGGATTCAAATTCAGACCAACAGCCTCTAAAATCCAGTTAGACAGGGGGGAAAAAAAGGTTGTGACTTACCAGATTGCTTCATAGTAAAATGTTCCACCGATATTACCATCATTATAGGCTTATCTTGAGAACAGGAGGGATGAAATAGGATTGCTTGACTTGGTTACTCAGAAATGGTCATAAAACCTCCTCGGTGAGTCAGGTTTGGTGAACTAAATAGGGGGATAAGGATGTTTGGTGCATCTGTAAAAAGCCCTGTGGTTGCTTTAAGTACACGGTGTGTACAGGATCATATTTACCTACACCAAGATCACAGTAGACATAATCAAAAAGCAAAAGCATTATCACTGAGGTTGAGAATACACATGGAGAATCTGAAAGTCGCAATATAAAATGTTTATCCCTCTGGGGAACGCCAGTATTTGATAAATTAAATATTTTATATAAAAGTTGATGGTGTGGATCAACCTCTCTCATCATCATACACCATTTAAAAATAACAGTACACTGCACACTTGAAGACCTTGGATATTAACATTAAGAGCCAAACAAACAATACTTAAGCTATACTTTAAAAAGCCTGGGAAGGTTTTTAAACAGCCAGGTAACTGGCAGGTTTACTGCATCATTGCATAGGAATAATTTGTTACCCTGATCTGAATTACTCTGGATAAACTATACACATGCCACTCAAATATGGTGCTTTTCTAAAAAAAAAAAACAAAACAAAACAAAAAAAAAACAAGGGACTTTTTTTTGACAACTTAAAATCAAATGACCTGCACTGAGGCAAAATAAAAGATTTAAGCTATGAAAGTAAACCACAGAGGGCTAAAGAAAAAAAATTTATTTCTGAAAGAGAATACATCTAGTTGACATACTTAAAAGGAACGGGGATGTAAAATCTACATCCAACGCTATACAGCAATGTGCCACAGCTTTTATTTAATTAGGTTTGTTTTCAAATAAGATAATTGCTTCTAGTACTGAGGAGCAAAGCTCAGCTTATTCTGAAAATGTTTTTATTCCCTCATGGAATGTTAAGGCATGAACTGTATGTAAATAAATATGTGAATAAATTACAATGAGTCCTGCGTTTGTTGTAATTTTGCTTTCACTACCCCTAAGGGAAAGTTTTCTTAAAACGTTTATTTAGATTGAGACAAAAAAATAAATGTCATGTGGTTATTAAAGGGAAGCTATACATGGAAAGGGAATTAAAAATTATGGAAAATGGTAAAAAATGTGCTGAGATCTTTTGGTTTGCAATGGTTTGGTGGAAAATCTGAAAATAACAGAGGCGTCAGAAAAAAAAACCCAAACAAAATGTTCTAATAAACAGTCACAAAATGCTTGATTGACATTTTTATTTTTTAAGGATATGCATTGACATGCACATTCAAATGCAAGGAATCAAAATGCAGAAGGTTTCAAATAGCATAAGCCTCTTTTCACCAAAATTAGAGAAATAAAAACATGACATCAGCCTTTTAAATAGAAACAGAGAAATTAAATTAAATAAGGAGTTCAGACATGAGGAAAATAAACTGTGTGAGGTTTATCTAAAAGAGAGTGAGAAATTCCTAATCACTGTTGAGCAGCTCAGAAAGCAGCTGGTAGATATCGGCTAAGTTGTCAGGCTGCAAAACCGTAGATGCAGCTTTAGTGCAGTCTGAAGCTGATGAAGCAAACTGCTCTGAATTCAACATATTTTAATGCCAACATGCGCCGTTTTCGTACACAGACTTTGGCGGCTACAGGGAAACATTTTGGTGTAATCATTGTCAATTTGGACAGTACAGTAGGAGCAACTCAGCAAAACATAGCCTGAAAGGAGTCTTTGGAAGGCCAAAATGGCTCTTAGAACTCGTAAGCTGGTTTTTCCTTTAAGATTTTGTCTTTTTGTTACAATTTGTTTATAGGCAGAAGACATTTCAACAATATTTTTTCATATTTATCACATGAAGACAGAATGAAATAAAGTAAAAACACCACACAGGACATTTACCCAAGGCACTGTAGGTTGGACAAATACAATTTCTTGAATCAGCCATTTGCTAAAAGAAAAAGAAAAATGCCTGCTAATAAAGTATATCCAGAATGTTTCATTTGGATTCAAAACAACATAAATCTAATACTGTACAGTCACTGCTCAATATTAAATAGGATGAATGTGCTTGGTTACACAGAAGCAGTTTCTAATTGCACAAGATATTTTCAAAATAAAGCTGATGCATTTCCACAGAAGAGACATCAGTTCTTATTGTATAGTCATCTAAGAAGCTTATTTTATTATTGCAAATACAATGTTTGGTTGGTTATCTACAATTTTATCTCTAAAAAGCCCTGTAACTTTTAAGTGATGCTACATATTTTTATATAAAAAAAAAAAAAAAGAAAATAGAGCTCCTCTCTTTGTAGCATATACAATTGAACCAATTGTATTAAAGTTACCTTTCATGCATCAACAGTACTCTGAACATGTAGTGAAATCTGATAAATCAGCAGAGATCGTGAACAGTAACTGCATGAAAGTCATTGGTTTCAACTAAGAACATTTAAGCACAGAAATCAGTATTCAAACTGATAGTTCTCATTTGATTATACCAACAAATTTGGACCATAGGGCTTTAACTTTTAAAGCCACTTTCCCAAAGTTTACCATAAAAATAAGCAAATATATAGGACACAAACATGAGTCACGTCTTAAACAAAAACAAATACAGAATTTTTCTTATGTCTGATTAGGAAAAATATACAAAGCTGTTGTATCGTCTGGTCCCACCTCAACACCCCAGAGTCACTTTAACCATCCTGAGGGACTTTAAGGGTAAACTGGCGACACAGTGGCGATATCAGATCATTCTCTGATTTCTGCTAAACCAGAGAGGAAACATTTTTGCAGATTTAATAATAAGGTTTATGATAGCAGCTTACACTACATATTCATAACCAGCGTCAGGAAAACCCTAAAACTAGGCATGTCCCGATAAAAACATTTCAAAATGACCAATAGCTTAACTCCTGCCTCACCCCCAGCAAGATTTGTATTTGCAATTTTTAAGGCAGGTTTTTGCATTTTAAAAGTCACTAGCTGTTCTACAGGCCTCATATTGTATGCAAAAATCTAAATCCCCCTCTCCTTTTTGTCATATTGTGCTCTTTGCTGCACTGAAAAAACAAAAAAACAAAACATGTCTTTGTAGAAAATGCGACATGGAAAGCAGGTCAAATGCTGCTTATTTTATCTTATTTTATAATGTTCAAAGGAAATGGCTTCATTGATTCAGATAAGGAGCAACTTTTTAAGCAAGTTTGTCTGTAACTGAGCTAGAAGCTGACTGGAATGTTATTAGGCTGATCACTACTGATTGGAAATATCCTAAATAAAACTATGCTAGCTTTAGGCTAGCATGTCAGGACAACCAAGTAGTGGGAGTCATAGAAGAGTATTTTAAATGAGGTATAATCCTGACACTAATGAAAAACCATACCATTTTTATCTATTTTTTTAACAGCACATAAAAGCTCCAATATTAAAAATAATTCATGGGACAGTAAATTTGTTTCCATGTTCATCTGGGACTTGATAACCACACTAAAGTGTTAAATGACTCAGTTGGGTATTTAGGATAAAATGATCCTGATTGGGACATCCGTAACGCTGGTTTGATCCGGGTTTTAGGAAACTATTATGTTTTGTAGGAAACTGTTCTCTCTGCAAAACACCGCAGATCTGCAGAATCTCACAAAGTTTAAAGCCTGCTTCAAACATGTCCTCATACATTCAAATCTAGCTCACTGCTCTTTAAACTTGACTGAAACTTAAAACCAGAGATCCAAATGATCTTCTTTGTGTATACACATCCATAAATCTCCTGCCTACTTCCTTCTCACCCTATGTTACTAAACAGATTAACTGCGTTGATAAACCCTGATCTTCAGCTTCCTAGCTTTAAGGGGATGTTGAGATTTGATGATGAAGCGAACACAGTTTGCAGCAGTAACACAGCAAAAGTAAGGAAGGGTACCTTCAAATATCTGTCTGTATGCATCGCTTCCTTGTGGGGCTCACAGGCTGTTCGGCAGTGCTTCTGGTGGTTTCTTCAACAAACCTCTCTGGCTTTGTGTTTCCACCGCTGCCGTCCTCGCTGATGTAAAGGAAAGTCCTACTGCTTCTCTTTCTAGGTGAAGCAGGTGGGGATGAAGACAGCAAGCGATGGCTGAAGGCTGCGTGGCCACTCTGAGCTGGGAGATTCTCGAGGCGGTCATGCTCCACCTCAGGCAAAGGTGTGATAGTGGGCTGATGAGCGGGAGGGTCAATCTGGGATGATGGTTGGCTAGGTTTTAGGGTTTCAGGGTCGGAGCAGCTGAACTCGGATGACAAGTGGCTACAGTGCGAGTCGGCCACTGAAGGCAGGCTACCGCTCAGAGACGGTGAATCCAGCTCGGAGGAGTTAGCGCTCCGCTGCTCCAGAAACTGAGCATCGATGTCGCCTTGTTTTTCATTCACTCTTCTGTCTCCTTTGCTGCTGCTGCTACTGCTTGCTCTTCTCCAAAGCTTACTTTTGCATGTTTTGCCCACAGTAGTGATAGGGTCCTTAGAACAAGAGGAAGAGGGGCCACACTGGTTGCTGGGCTGTCCACAGCAGCATGTGGAGGGACATGAGCATAAACATCCGTCAGCGCCTGCTCCTTTGATGACGGCCGGACCACTGCTGCAGCTGGTCTCATCCATGCTGCTGCTGGCACTGCCGTGTCTCACCTTGTCCTGTTTGGACTCAGAGTCAGCGGGAACCTCCAGGCTGCCGTCTCTGCAAAATAACATCACAAGACTTTAAACATACAAACCTTTGGATGTGGAATTCAAACATATGTCTGGCATTTCAATGGTTAGCTCTCACAACTACACACAATTTGTGGCTTAATTTAATACATTTATTTTTTTAACTTATCAAATAAAATTTAATTTGGCGGACAGGATTGTAATTTATGTTTTATGTTAGATTTTTTTTTTTGTCTTTTTGACTGAAATTATTCTTAAACTCTTTCTTATAAAATATATGTGTTTTGGTATATCTCATTTACAGTTAAACATCATTTTATTTGTATTACGCCATTTTATTCTCGAGGAATTAAAGTTCTTTCTATCCTGCAGATTCATTGGAAACATAAAAAACTTTGTAATTTGAAAAAAGTAAAAGCTTTAAACTTGATTAAATTCTACTTTAATTGTCCTTCAACCAAACCTTCATTGTTATTTTTATTCTGCATTTAATTCTCTAATCTGTAGAAGATCAATATGAACAAAAGATGTGGTGAGCCATTAAATGTGCTTTAACCATTTTACTCAAAATCTAAATGCACTTTTGAAACACTAAAAAACAAAATCAAAATTCAAATTTTAAGAAACCCTAAGGATTTCCACATTTATTTTATCTTTTCTGAAATTAAGATCCTAGCTTATTTTTATGTTTGATATCAAGGGTGATGCAGATTTGTTGGACATTAGTCTAACTGATCCATGATGTTTACCTACAAAATAATAAATGCTACATATTCTCCTGTACATGTAGAGTCTAAATACATGGTGGGGTGTGTCACAAAGGGCCGAGTGCAGCATGACATTATGATGTCAACATGAGCCTAAAATGCTTAGGATCTTTTCCAGCCAGGGTGTGAGAAACTGTTGATTGCAGGATGGGTGTGATCTGAATGCTAACCTTTCAAGCGGCATGTAGGCATTGAGAATGGAGCCGGCCATGGCTTTGGTGCTGGCGTTGTCACTGATCGTCCCCAGGCTGACGGTGGCCGACTCGCCGCTTAAACTGCAGCGCTCCTTCTGGACATCAGCCTGCACTTCCATCCTTCCAAAAGCAATTATAAGAAATAAAAAGTAATCAGTTACGCTGCTCGTCAAAAAGAAAAAAAAAGGGTGGGTTAGAAGTGGAGAAACAAGATAGTCTTTCCAAGTCACATGTTTTCAATACCATAATTAAGCAGCACTGAGCTCTTCATGTTTTACCTGTTGTAGCAGCTGCCAGACAGGCTGCCCGTAATGCTGGTCCCAGCAAGTGCCGTGGTGCTGGCGTTGTCGCTCATGTTGTCCCGCTGAGCTGAGCTCACTCCGCAGCGCTCCATGTGGCTCCCGCTGACGCTGAGGCCAGTCAAACCTCCGACGCTTGCGCCGTCTCCGAGGCTCGGGTTGTTGAGCCGTGTCTCCGCCACAGACGTAGTGTCTGGGAATGAGATTAAAAAAACTAAATGTATTTATCTACATAATAGTGGGACAAAAAAAAGAACTTTGGTGGCCAATACGACTAAAATAAAATCTTAATATTAAAAAACTAAAATTGTGTATGAATTTGTTAAACTATTAAAGAGATAAATAAAAATTAGGAACATATTGTGACTTCTTTAACAAGAAATTGAGATCCTCTGTTTCTCATTCAAGCCAGCATTTTATATTAAATACCTTGCAAGGAAGGACAGATACAGATAGATAATGAATCATACATGTTTTCCCTAAATTCTTACGAAGCCTGCAAAAAGCTACAAAGGCTCTTCTTTATACAGATTTAAAAACAAGTTACATACAATGTGAGGAAAACAGTAAAATGTTGAAGAAACCTTGATAGGAAGGAGTCTAAAATGTGAAGGAGAAAAATTATCTTCTGTTGTGTTTAAAACACCCTGTCACGCAGACACTGTGTAGCCTTGCAGATGGCCTGAGTGAACACTAAAAGAAAATCAGTACTCATATGAAAATATTATGAAGGGATTTGATAGGAAATAGATTTTTTTCAACCACAATATACAAACGTCTTTTTTTTTGCTTTTACTCTTCTTGTTCTCATGATGGTCAGACTATCTGAAGTCATTGTGGTCTTAAATTCTTATTCTCGCTGTTGACAGAGGCTGAGAAAAACATGTTGCCTCTCTCACGCTCTACAGCCCCCGGGAAACTAAGAGGCTCAACCCACACACATGCGCACAAATATTTGTCCTGGGCCTTGCAGTAACCTTTCACAAAACAATGTTTTAAACCAACACCTGATGTAAGTATGCTCTGTGTACAAAATCCACCGGTATGAACATTAGTTTCAGTGTAATTGCATTCCACGTACTCCTGTGCAAATCCCCATCTTTTCTGCAGATTAGCGCAGCCAGTTAACTGATTATTTTCTTTAAAAAGAAAAATGAAAAAAAATATTGCAAAAAATAATACCAATCTTTATTTAATATTGTTTGCATGCCATCTTAATGGTTGTTGGCTCAACTTTGCTACATCATTTACCTCATTTCGGGGATTCTCACCTGTAGCTACTGGCCCGGTGCCTATGTTGTCATTTTCATCATCAAACTCAATTCGAACTCCTTTTCCGTTGCCGGCGGAAACCCCACAGCCTCCGCTCCGACACAGAGAGATTGGGACAACCCCATAGACGTACGCAAGCATGATGGGAACGCCAATACCTAAGACACACAGGAAGTAGAATACGTTCAAGACAATAAACATTTCCATTCTATATTAAATAAGAGATTCAGGAAGAATAGAAACAAAAACAAATGTAATTTCACCCAGTTTCCCTAGACTGGAATCTCATAATATATTACAAATATCAAAAAAGGCAAGATAAAAAAAGGTTCTCCTACCAACAGTGACAGCAGCAACCACTGGAGATACAATCACCGACAGCGTCACACCACCAGCTATCACCAAGTTCCTCTTATGCTTTGAAATGTCCTTTCCTTCGTAGCGGTTATGAATCTGATTTAAAAACAAAAAATTATATATATATATTTAGTGCATAACTATGATAAAACTAATCTGTAATTCAAAGAGGAATACAATCTAAAAGCCATTTTAGTGAAGTAATTCAATATAAGATCGTTCATACAGTTAATATTTCATGGTAAGTTATATTACACTATATCATAATAAAGCAAATAAAATAAAAATAATATAAAAATGGAGCAATGGAACGTCCAGAATAGAAATGTAAAATAATAGAGGTTTGCTTCACATTCCTGTATAACTGCTGGTTTTCCTGCCGTTTTATCTTGTTGTTCTGCGAAAGGTTTTCCTTCCAATTGACAGGCTTGGAAATAGAACTGCAAACACATGACCTGTTCTGCTAGTTTTGTTTTTGTTCAATTAAATCACTAAAATAAATCTTTTTAATTATAGTCTATTTATTGACAGTAGTCAAAATATAATAAAGACAAACATTTCAGTTTTCCCATTGCATAACTTTTGGACCTAAGAAAGCAAAATTTACCCATCTACTTTGACTTTTTATCTGGATATGGACCACAGAGCCTCTGATACATTTATAGCTCAGTTCTCTAAATGTAAAGTTTAACTTTAGGACAATGATTTATTATTATTTTTATCTATATATAGATAGTTAAATAAAATAATCTATTATTATAGATTATTTAATTTAACTATCTATAACCTACATTTCATTACTGCCATTACCCTGTTTGGTCAACTTCCAGGTTCTATACAAATATTTAACATCAGTATCCATCTGGAATGATTCAAATTGACTAAGACTGTGCAATTTGGTCAAGAATTTCAAACTGTGATTTTTTTCACCCCCATCAAAATTTGTGATTGCAGTTTTATTTTGAATTGGATGCAGCAACTCTCTCTTCCCTGCTGTGTAGCAGTAAAGCCCTTAAGCATATTATCACCATCTAAAGGACTTGAATGAGAAAGATGGCATCTTGCTCTCATTAAATATAATATAACCAGAAATTGTCTGCCTCTGCAATGTAAAAATTGCTGATATTTGTTCCTCTCGCCGGATATAATTCTTTTCTTTCTCAAACCTGCATGTTTATCTTGTCAAACACATTTTTTCTCTCGAGTCCAGCTGTTTGAGGGGAGTTCTCACCCTTCTGCCCACATAGACTGGGATCCCAATGATCATTGCTGGGATGGCGATGCCTGCAATGAGAGCGATACCCACAGGCGCTCCCACCAAAGTCCCAAGCTGCCAGAGGATCTTTTTCTTTCTGCTCCAAGGCTTTTTCCCCCAGAATGTGCAGCCTGATGGACTGTAAAGATGGAAAATGGAAAAGGGTCTGTTAGGGCTCAAAGAAAAGCTGAGCAAATTATTACAGTAAACCAAAGCATGTGTGAGATCCTTATAAATCTTTGTCCAAGGACTACATCAAATGTGCTCTTAAAAGGCTGTAATGGAAAATTCCTTTAAGGAGTGAAACAAACAAAGGCTCTGGATTTTTTACTGGCATGTATAAGAACCTGAAGACAGAGAAAAAATAAGGTGAACAAAATCTTCAGAAGCCTGTTCATGATCCACTGCTTCAAACCAGGTGCGTTAGAGCACCTGGTTTGAAGCGCCCCAAGGAGCAGAACTAAGAATGACTGTAGAAAAGATGTTTTAATTTCAAATTGTACCAATAGAAAATAATTTTAAAACAGAACAAAAAGTAAAAGACAAAGTACACATAACATATCTTTTGCATGACATAAACATGAAATAACAGAGATGACTGCTGAGGTGAGAGGGTAAGTTTCTGTGTAAATACAGCTGATTCTAAAAATAGGACTATAATAAAACAGTGATTTTAAGAGAAAAACTTAATAATGTATAAACTTGATTTAAAGACATAACTATAGAGTCAACCATCATGCTTTTGTCTCACCTCAAGTAGTGCAGATCAGAAATCTCTTTCATGCAGAGCCAACAGAACTCACAGCCGCATACGGCACAGGTCATATGATTACAGCTTCCATCGTTCATTTTGATGATATACGCGGAGCAGCGAGGGCATGGCTTGATGTCATCGCCTACCATAGATAATTAAAAGAAAATAAACCATAATGGGACATTTGACAAAATAATAAAACAGGATATATATCTAGACAATTCATTTGAAAATGAGGTTATGTATGAGGTGGTGTAATATTGGAGAAAGAATTAAACAAGAAAATAAAAATCAACTCATTAATATATGGGACAGTTGAGCCAAAATGGCAACTCCTGCTAACAGAAACACAGTGGCTAGGCTAACTGGAAACAGGATTGAGACCAAGGGCCAAGGAATGGGTTAAGGCACACAGACCAACACAGCTACTGTGAATCATTTAGAAATCTTTCACTTTTCCTTTAGATTTACAATTTTCTTTTTTTAAGCATGATGTTCGTTGACTGATGTTTCCTACTGACTGGTGAGCTCTCCAACATGAGACCTTCCTAGAGGATAAGCTCACCTTCAGACCAAAAAACATAAATTCTTGAGAGAACAAGTTAGATCAATGCAAATTAATTTATGATCAGTCATCCATCCACCAATCAGCATTACCGGCTGCGCCGCTCTCCTGGCTGTAGCTCAGTGACGATGACCTGAAGCTCCTCAGCCGAAGGCTCTGAGCTCTTTGCTGCCGTGCCGTGTCACATGTCTGATTGGGATGCCACAGCTGTTTGCAGTGGTAGCAGAACTCTGTACCGCAGCCATCGCGTCCGCAGGTGATCTTTGGACAGCTGGCACAGCCAAAAGCAATGACAGCATACCTAGGAGGAAGCATAAAGCAGAACGCAGGTTTAGAGCTATGACCCTAGCTACCATGGACATAGACTGCATGTAACTGGATCCAACTTGGACCATAATATCGGAATATTGGGCCTTAATTGGGTCTCACTGAATATTTTAGATTTATGACCAAATCTAATTTGAACATGTTTTTTTATGTTTTGTTGCTTTCCTTGAAGAAAAAACAGCATAAATAAATAAACTGAAGGGAATTTTAGCAAAACAGCATCAGTCTGGACTTGTCAACCAAATGTGCATAAAAGCCTAAAGAACCTTTTCACATTCTTATGATATTTAAACAGACAAAAGTTAACAAATGGGTGTTGCTGCTGGCTTAAAGTATGGTAGATATGTCTCCAAATGGTTCTGATAAAAACACCTCTGCCAACACAGACTCTATAAAAAATTTTAATGTCCTGACTGGACTTGGATTTTAACAATTGGTCCAATATCAGCCAAAAAAATAGAGTATCCAAAAATATTGGTCTGTATTATAAATGTCCAATATACGTAAACTGATAGAAACACCAATTCTATCTGCTTATGTTTTACATGTATGAAACACATTGCTTAACAATGAGTTGTTCATTAATTTCATATCCGTTATTGTTTATTAAATTTTTCTGTTTATAAAATATAAATATAAGCCTTTTTTTTTAACAAGCCATACTAAAAATTAAGTAAAAAGGCAGGTGTTTTAATTCTGCTGTTATCATACTGTATAATTATTTGTAATGACTAATATTTAAAGCTGAAATTTGTTATAGTATATGAAATAAAAAAAGGTGTATCAGGAAACTCAGTGTAGCTACTCAAAAGTACATACATTTTTTAGCCACCCTACTTCAGGTTTGTGTCTGGGACAAACGGAACACATTTTCCGAGAAAATATATGAATTTATCATAGCTAAGATACATTAGTCCGTTAAAGTATTTACCGTAATATGCATTATATGTCAACTAAAACCATAAAAGCAGCTCTAACAGCACTTTCAAAGACAAAAAGTCAGACTATAGGATTTAGTTAGTGATCAAATGATTAAAATCGGAAGAATTTAATCAGGAAAGTAACCATTAAATATGAAAACCCAAAATTTAACCGATAGCCATGGAAAACAAAGCTCTTAAGTGTTTTTTTGAAAGAGTTCAGTAGAATTAGGAACAAGGTGTTCTCAAGCTGACTCATCTTTTTAAGCTATGTCTTAAAGATCATAATTTTCATAATCAGGATGAAACAGAACCTCAATGATTTTGCCATAGCTTCTAGCTTCCCTTTTCTTCATAAGAAATTAAAAAGAAACTTATAGAGGAAACACAACACAGAGTGCTTAGAGGACAGTAAAACTAAAAATATATCTGTTGTGCTTGTTGACTGTTTTTAATTTGCAAACATGCTGAACATATTTAATAGCTGTGAACTGAGGGTTGCATGTAAGCAAATAAGGGTAAAACGAAAGTCTGTCCAGACAGTTTCCAAATAACTAACACTTTGGTGAGCAAACTGGTGACATATTGCGTAAAATATGAACAAGCAGAAGGGAGATTTCCAAATGCATGTTTTGACGTCTTCACTTCCTTGTGTTTTCCCACACATTTCTGCATGCAAATTTAATCCCTCCTCAGTTTCATTTCCTACTCTGTTCATCCAACAGTTTTCCCTTGTGCTAGAATAAGGTATAGCAGATTTACCCGAGGCCCACACTAGCTACACATTAATAGCTGCAGAGAGATAACATGGGTGCAGTCATGTGCAGTAAAGCAAAAGAGACTTTCAAAGTTCAAATATTTGAGGTTGACAGTTGTTGCTTGAGAAATTGATTCAGGCATGAATAACAGAGTGCAAGTAAAGCCAAAGAATGCCAATATTTTCCATCCACAGTTATCAAGACCTGCCACTAACACCTGCCTGAAAAGCATTAGGTATTTACCTACCATAATTGTGCTAAAACTAGCTGAGGGCTCTAGCTCCAGTGAGAAGTGATTTACTCCCAACATCTGGATGCTGCTCCGCTAAGAATTTACAGTCCAAAAGGTCTACTACGTAGACTTTGAAACATCAACAAAATAACTTAAATGAATAACCATTCATTGCAGATGGCATGTAATCATGGTGCTACTAACAATGAGAGAAGATTTAAACCTGTTTATCAACTGTTAGGACATTTTAGAATCTATTTGTTTTTTTATAGAGATGCAGAGAGAAAACTTTCAGTTTTAGTCCTTTTAGAAAAACAGCCCCTTTATTTTCCCTGGGGCTATTACCATTGTTTGGTCTTATCTGCATAATACTGACGTCATGTAATAAAATACCACTAACAACACAAGGATTAGAAGGAATAGAAACAGAAATTTACAATAATCTGTCCTTGGCAGGATAAAAAAAAGCACATTTGTGACGTCTCAAATATTGGGACAATTTCACGTTGCTGCTAAAGAATCTATGGATCATCTGATTAAAAAAAATGAATCTATTAAAATGTGCTTGTTATAACCCCACTCTAAGAACAAATAAAAAAAAATAATGCTGAAAATAAAACAAAACTCAATCAATGAATAAAACTTAATCAATGCCAAACAACCTACACTAATAAGAGGGAGACATGCCGACGCTGTAACAAAAAAAAAAAAAAAAAAAACAGGTAGGGGAACCTCACAATCTAGTCGGTTTAACTCCAGTAAATAACTATTCCCTTAGTCACTAAGGGAATAGTTATTTACTGGAGTTAAACCGCCTTAAAACTAAGGCTTAGTGCAACAAAAACAAATGCATCACTTGACAAACTTGTTCAGCTAGGAAACAACGCCTAATAGCCTTAAACCAAATTATGCGACAATTAAAAGGAAGAGAACTTAAAATGGGGAAAAGTTTAGCAGTGAGTCGAACCAAAGTTGTTACCGTAGATGAATCCCACCAAGCTGAACAAGAGGTCATTAATTCAGTGCTGTTGGTGAACCAAATCTAGAAAGTATATTCAGGTTAAAGGGTGGGAACTTTCTGACTAAATAGGATGGCTGGTGTGTTGGAGCCAAGTGTAGTGGAGCAGCACAAGTGTTTTGTTTATGGAGTGGTTGTTATGGCCAAACAGTACAGTCTGTTGTGGTGAAGCCAAGCAGGGTCAGCTTAGTGTTAGTCACAATCTGGCTCTCTGTGAGCAAACTGCTGAATCCCTTAGGGCTCCAAACAAATAAGACCCTAAACTGACCTGAACCCTGTCCTCTCAGCAGCACAGAGGACAAAAAACCCAAACCTAATGTTTAGCAAAGCTTCAGATTACATGAGCCTCATAATGTTAATTAAATGCATTTTACCTTTAGCACCAATTATTCATTTATATTTACGTTTTTGATTCAACTATCAATTCCCATCAGTTTAAACACCTTTAGATTACAGTTACCAACATAACAGCATATTCTAGTTTTAGTACATCACTGATAAATAACAAAGTGAAACAAAACACACATTTTGATGTGATTTAAGCTAAATTTATGATATCCATTTTATTATATTTGGGGTGAGCAAATATTAAGTGAATATTTTCCCAGCGTTTACAACAATGAGACAGACCCATCAGCAGAATGATAGTATCCATATCCTGCTCACATCTTTTTTTGGATGACTCATTGCACTTACAAAAATAAAACAGCTCTATTGAAACTGAGTTATTTTTAACTGAGGATGAGTTCAGACACTGGGTCTGCTTTTACAGAGCCAAATGAAAGACTAAAGTTTTGTTTTACTGTATTATGATTATATATATATATATATATATATATATATATATATATATATATATATATATATAT